GAGCGGGAATCGAACTCAGGTCGCCGAGTTCGTAGCAGGGCAGCACGCTCACTGCTACACGACCACTCCCCACAAGAATCGTAACAATAACACACCAACAACAAGGGATAATAATAATAAGTGTGTTCCAGACTTAAGTGGTGCGTGACAAGAAGCAGCACGGGAAGTGTTTAGGAACATGCATTGGGGTTATTTGGCTGCTATAAAGTCCCACATGATGATAAGCTACTTTGTTGAGCCATCTCTTGGGGCCAGGTCGCTTCTGTAAAATAAGGTAATAAAGCTTAGTGGGGGCTTTACCTGGTAAGGTATTTTTTTTTGTTTGTTTCATTAGTTATATATATGATTTGTTTAGCTTTCCTACACTTTGCACTCCTATCGTGTTTTTGTATTGTTTGTTGTTGTAACGTTCTGACCCGCCCCACATCTGCGAAAAGAAATTCATCGCCGATTGGCTTCCTCCAGTATGAATAAATATTGCGACACCGTTTAGAGCTGGGCACGGCGGTTGAACACGGTACGGATGAGACGAGTCGGCCGACGGGAGCGAGCCGTCAACACTGTGTCACGTGACAAAAGCATCCCTTTAGATATCTCGCAGAGAGGGCAACGACCATTCGCGTCAAACAATGGCCCATGGAAGCGGATATCGCAGAGCTGCGTCCGACTTCTCGCCCGCAAGTCCTCGCAGCGGTTACTGGCTAGCAGTCGAACAAAGACGGTCACCGCATCGCGCACTTTCAGACGCGCTCTTGCGGACCGCCTTGAACGCTCTTCCTTCCGATATTAGGAAGCCAATGGGAGCTGTGCATTCTTACGTCTGGATTCAAAACACATTTTTTTTAGAACCTCCTTTTCTATTTAGTTTGTTGTCCTTTCCCCGCACCTCTGATTTAACACAGTTGGCTAGGTACGGTGCAGAAGAAGTTCAACATACATCCACATTTTCCGCGGTGTTTACCACTGTCTGGTGGGGACCGCGCGACGATCGGCCGATGGTGCGATCGAGTGGCGAGCATCGGATTCCGCACGTGTGCGTGACGCTACGCTCTTGTTCGATTGACTCGTGTTGCAGGTCTGTGCAATTGGTAGACACAGACGCGATGGGATAGAAAGTAGATTCTTACATCACACTGCAACCTTGAATCACGATAAAAACCATTGAATCGCAGGGGGAGGACGTGGGGGTTGGATCAAATGCCCCCGCCAGGCCTCTCGCCAGCTCAGATCGGCACTTGGTATCAATCGGGCAGGAGGTAGCGAACACGCGAAGCGAGCGACGTCCACTCACGGGGGGGGGGGGGGGGTTTCTGGTTGGGGGGGGGCCGCAACCGCCGGTAACGTTTCGTTTGCGGGGGCGTCTTAATTGAGCGGCACCCGCGGTGTGGCCGTTGTTCCGTCCCGGTGGGAAACGTTGGCACGCCCGTCCCGCTCGGCTCGCGCTCGCACACCCACACACCCACATTCCTGCCGGCCGACTCGGCGAGCCCTCGCTTTAAACGAAACCCAACGCACGCAGCGAGAGAGAGAGGCCGAGAGGGGGGAGAGAGAGAGAGAAACCCAATGCGCGCAGAGAGAGAGAGGCCGAGAGGGGAGCGAGAGAGAGAAACCCAACGCAGGCAGCGAGAGAGAGAGGCCGAGAGGGGAGAGAGAGAGAGAAACCCAACGCAGGCAGCGAGAGAGAGAGGCCGAGAGGGGAGAGAGAGAGAAACCCAACGCAGGCAGCGAGAGAGGCCGAGAGGGGAGAGAGAGAGAAACCCAACGCAGGCAGCGAGACAGAGAGGCCGAGAGGGGAGAGAGAGAAACCCAATGGACGCAGCGAGAGAGAGAGAGGCCGAGAGGGGGGAGAGAGAGAGAGACCCAATGCAGGCAGGACAGCAGAGGGGAGAGGGGGTGGGGGTGGAAAAAAAACCTCCACTATTTTTGCAGGCAGAGCGTGTTTTTTTCCCTCTCTCTCAAAGCTTTATATTTCTTAATGTGCTTTAAGAACCACGTTCAAGGCCTTCTCCTCCCCGCTGTTAGGCAGCATTCCTTCTGCCCGTTCCCCCCCCACTCCCGGCCCCCACCGCCACCCGACAGGCCCTCCCCTTCCCGCCCTCACGCCACCGACAATACGGCGCGCTAAGATTAAAGAAAGATTAAAAGGGACGTCGCTGGAGGACTGCCAAGCAGACAACACCGAGGGGTTGAGGGTGGAGCCGGAGCAAGCAGCGGCGGCGTGGAGGGGGGGGGGGATAAGGAGGAGGAGAGCGAGAAAAAAAAATCTTTGCCAACAAGCAAAGACAAAACTAACTCCGCGCAGAGCTAAAGGACATGACGGGCAAAGACATCTTCCGACCAAATGGCCTTTTTAGCAAGGCGGGCGAGATGGCGCGAGCGGACTTCAAAGTTTGCCGGCGGGCGGACTGGAAAGACTTTGGCAGAGAATATCAAAAGGGAGCGAAAAACTGAAGCGAGTTTGGCTATTTTAGCTCCAGCCACTCGCGGCATTCCCCAGAGCTCAATGGCCTTGCTCCCAAGGTCCCCCACCCCCCACTGCCACCCCCCGCCCCGGCCCCCCACCGCACACAACCCCCCTTCTTCTTTAGCCTGGAATGCGGGTGAAGAGAGGGACAACGGCGATATGGGAAGCGTCGGTCTGAGGAAAAAGCGCCGCTCGGAACAAAAGTTCTCTCTGTTTGATTGGTCGTTTACTCCAGGAGAAAGGTCACTGAGGTCACCGCTCTCCCAGCTCCCACTTTACTCCCAGTGAATGGAGGAGAGGGAGAGACCTTCCCTCGGCTGCCTACTCGGCCCAGCCTCACCGCCACCGCCCGCTCGCTCACTCGCCCGCTCGCTCACTCGCCTCCCAGGCCCAGTGCACTCAACGCCGTCGCTCTCCCAACCCTCCCCCCCCTCCCCCCACCACCACCCAACACGACCGCCCATGTCTGTCCTGCCACAACCGCACCGGGGTAACTGGGCCAAACAAGGCAAGGATGCCGACAGACTGTGACAATAAGGTGCATTTGCAATTCCTATGACAGGCACCCACGGTGTGGGGGTGGGGGAGTTGGTGCGTGTGGGAGATGTAAAAAAAAGAGCGGAGCAGCTTTCTACCGCGGCCTCCGTAAATCTCCGAGCCCTGCAGCCCCACGAGCTGACGCCGGAGTGGCCTGCCATCGCTTGCGTGCCATTTCCTATTTAGTTTGCCTTTTTACGAAAACGTCCACTGGCTCGCTTGTCCGCGAAAACGCTAAAGCGACGGGACGCCGACCGCGAAGCCTTTCCCCAAAGTGGCTTTGAAATTAATTAAAATAACCAGACTTTTTTACGGCCGGAGGCATCCACCAGAAAATGCTAAAACTGCAACATTTCCCGTGCGCGTAATTTTTTTTTATCTTCGTCGCAAATCATTAGCGAGCGCTGGCCTTGATTCCACGTGTTTGCGAATGTTTATTTCCGTCGAATTTATTGGCGAAAATATGCCGACGTTTAACCCATCACCGTCGGCGTGGCAAATCGCCAAGGCGTTGGGCGAAGCACTGCGGTTGTTTTGCCAAGTTGGGAATGTGGCCCGATGTCTTTTCGTCTGTTAAATTATCTTTACAAAGTAAAAAAAAATGAAAATAAAATGCCACAGTGAAAACAACCTTCAGAGAAGGAACAAGAATAATGACAATAATCATCAGATCCTTTATTTATCCAGGGAAACCACCATTGAGTCTCAAGCCTTCTTTGTGATGTTTGGCCAATTTCATTATTAGTTAGACTTCATGTGTGGCATGAACCACCCGGAGAAAACCCAGCACACCCATACAAGGGGGTGACACTCGGGACTGCCATCTCGAGGCCAATTCGCAGGCCGCACATCTCCAACACCTGGCAAGTCCAGGCGGTCACCCATCGCAGTACTACCCAGGCCACGCTTCGCTTCCATGACGTGACAACATAGGGCAGCAACGCGCGTCCTATATCCGAGGACGATTTTAAAATTCGCGACCCAAAACGAGGGTGTAAACGCTCAACGCTCCTAACAGATGAACTCAAGAAACCATTGCTAAACTACACGAACCTCGCCGCCCAATCGTGAAACGCCAGGCAGCCTCCCATCCATGCATGCACCAGGCTCGACACCTGCTTAGCTTGAGATCCAGCCACTGTGTGGCTACCACCCGAGCACGCACGCACGCACGCGGCATTACGGCTCAGAGCAAAAATGCGAGCGGCTTTTGTGTAATAACAGGGACCGCGGTGGCGCAACGTTCCTCCCCCCCACCCCCCGTCGTGTTTGGGAGCGTGGGGGCCCCCGGTGGGCGTGACGGCCGTCGCCTCCTTCCCCTGCCGGCAGCCAGCCCGGGCGTGGCGACGGCTTCGGCCAGGGCCAGCCACAGTGCAGGTGTTGCACGAGCGCCGGGGTAATTGTGGTGGCGGCGGCGGCGTCATCGCCGCACCTCCCTCCCTCCCACGCCAATCAAAACAAGGATGTTTGCTCAACTGAGAAAGCCGAAACGGACCGCCGCTCGCTCGTCTCCCCGCGTTACAAACGACACGGTAGCCGCGCGCCGTGACGGCGTTGTTTGACGTGACTCCGCCGCTAAAAGCGTCCGGGTACAAGTACATTTTTTCTTTATTTCTTTCTCTCCTCTCTCTACACCTTTTTACTTGAAAAAAGGCAGCGGTCGAGTAGCTATCGCGAATCCGGCCACCCGAGTTCAATAACCCAACCACGGATAACGTCAGTGGCGGGTGCTTATCGGAGCCGGTCTCCGCTCTCCTCCTACCCCCTACCCCGCACCGACCAACCTGTTCACCAAAGCGCACGAATGCGTGTGACAAAGTACGGCGAAAGTAAAACCCCGCGATCGACATGGCATACGGAAGCCTTTCATCCATCGGTGGCCGTGAGCGGGAATCGAACTCGGGTCGCCGGGTTCGTAGCGCACCGAGCTAACCGCTACACTACCGCTCCCCCTCCCTGCCACACTTGCATGCACAGAGAGCGAGAGAGAGAGCCGCACCTCAATCTTGTCGGTCTTGGCATCGCCCCAGTAGATCTTGCCCTCGGAGTAGTCGAGGGCGAGGCCGTTGGGCCAGCCGAGGGAGGTGTTGACCAGCACCGATCGCTCCGTCCCATCCAGGTAAGCCCGCTCGATCTTGGGCATCTCTCCCCAGTCGCTCCAGTACATGTAGCTGCACGGCGGCGCGACGGTGGACACGCGACACACGTGCAAATGAGGAGCAGAACCAAAATGCACAATTGCTCGAGTAACAGATTCGGAGACGGTGTGGGCCTGCAATTGCTTGATTACACCAATTGCTGGCGGAAAAGTGGCTTTAAAGAGAGCCCCTTGGAGAGGGCGTTTGGCCTACTCTTTCATGCTGGCCAGACACCTTTGAAGTGGTGAGAGTTTCACATACTTAATAATACTGACTGTGGTGAACCAATTTATACTGCTGGGTGGACAGAGGCATTGGGAAGGTTGGAGGAGGGTGGGGGGATTTAAGAAACTTACACCGGGTGATTAGCGCGGGTTGGTTACGTACGGTGCGAAAGAAGTTCAACATACATACGTCGTTGCAAGGGCAGCGGCGTCAACGACCGCCTGGCTTCACCCGCACCACTCTCCTCCCGCACCACCCGCCCCCCGCCCGCGATTCGCGTGACCCTCACTCACCCGGCCATGGGGTCAAGGACGATGGCCCTGGGTTCGTCGAGCCCGTCGCTCACGAGCACGCGGCGGCTCGAGCCGTCGAGGCGCGCCACCTCGATGCGATCCGTGCCCGTGTCGGTCCAGTAGAGGTTGCGCGCCACCCAGTCCACGGCGATGCCGTCGGGGTGTTCGATCTCCAGCGAGACGAGCACCTGCGGCCCCGCAAAGAGGTGTAGGGCGAGCGTCAATCGCACCGCACGCGTACCACCAAACGCGGGACGGTTCAATTCCAGTTACAGACTGGCCAAGGCTGCCAGGTAAGAGGGTGGGGGGCCGGGTGGGTAGGCGGGCGGGCGAGCGAAGCGTGCGGGCAAGAGAGCGAGCAGGTGAGGAAGTGGAAAAGGGGGCGATCAAGCTGGTGACGGGACGTGCGGGCGCGTGAGAGAACGAAAGAGCAGGTGGCTGGCAAGCAGGCGGGCGGGCGGGCAGGCAAGTGGGAGAGCGGAAGTGCGGGCTGGCAGGCGAGCGAACGAGCGGGCGAGAGCCAACGGACGAGCACGGGCGCCGTCGCCGCACCTCGCTGGCGGAGCCGTCGAGCCTGGCGCGTCGTATCGTCTGGGCGTTGTCGTCCGTCCAGTACACGTGACCGCCACCTTCGCCGTCAGGGCCGGCGCCAGCGGCGTCGTCGCGCGGGTGGCGGTCGACGACGTGGTGCTCGCCCGGGTGGAAGTCGAGGGCGATGGCGTGGCGCACGCCCTCCAGCGGCAGCATCACCGCCGTGAAGTCCGGCGTGTCCAGCGAGATGGTGCGGAGGTCGGTGCGTCGCGCCAGCAGCAGCAACTCCGCGGGGCCTACGTCACGCACGCAGAGACAAAGATCCCGCGGTGTAGCCTTAACGGAGTGTTGGGGCAAGTGCCGTTCGCGAGCAGCACCTATGAAGGTCCTCGTGGTGTTGTTTACACATCGTAACAGGTATTCATTTTAGGCTGAGTCGACTTAGTGGAAGCCCAGAACCTGTTCATACTCGTCACTGGTGTTGGCCGTCAGCAGGGAATCGAACTCGGGTCGTCAGGTTCGTAGTGTGGGGGGGGGGGGGCTAGCGGGAGGTGGAGGCTTTCTTCCTTGACCGTGACCCTAACAGCAGCAGAGCACCACCACGGTTATTTAGAACATCTAAAAGAACGCGACTCTCAAGGGGTGCGGGGGTGGAGATTGATATTATTTTTCTTCTTACTCCTGCTGCAAGTGTGTATGTGTGTGTATCCGGTGGCTGGGAGAGCCCTGCCAGGACTGCAGGGTGAAGACAATGGAGTCGTTTTTTATTGCTTCCTGGAAAAAAGTGCGCAATGTGTGCTTTTATTACCGTTGGCAATATTGCAGCTATTTTTACAGCGAGTTTCACAAAGTGAAATTGAATCGTGGATATACCCACACGTTTCCGGATGGGGTCATGGTTAAACGGTGGCACCTATTTTAAGCGTCTTCCAGCAATTCTTACATCTGCAGTGGCTCCTCTACCCCCCTCCCACACCCTCTGCCCACTTGACACCTCCTTGTCAAATAATTTCTTTATTTTCATCTGAGTTACGTTACAAACACGGTCACTGCTATCGCGCTTCTGCGGCCGTCTAGAACGCTCTTCCTTCCGATATGAGGAAGTCACTGGAGCTATGCACTTTCAAATAATCTAGATTACAAACTTATTTCTTTGCTATGAAAAATAGGAACAGGTTTTACCCTTTCTGGCAATAAAACAGGAGGTGTTAAGATGTTCAAACACCAAATAGATACCGTTTTTAAGGAATCAGGCCTGCATTAAGCGCACGTACTTGTGGTGAACATGTAAAAAAACATGCACTGATAATAATATCTGCATTGTCTTTGAAGCTGACTGGCCTACACCAGAGACAGCCTTGTTTACGGCCGTGTCACACCAGTGTCAGACCAGAGAACAACCGCAAAAGGCAAACAGTACGAAGACAATGCACGTATCAGAGCATCTATAGCTTGGGGTGAGCAGCCATATCAGAGACCTCATTTCTTTAGAACTGCTTATAGCATTTAGTTTATTGTCCTTCCCCTGCATCTCCGATTAGCACGGTTGGCTTTGTACGGTGCGAAATAATTTCAACATACATATATATTAACATGAGGTCACGGGACGTGGTTTCTTATAGAAAACTCTAAAAATAGTTGCATAGCATCACCCCATGTTAAAGCACAGCCTCTGATAGGGGACATCAAAATGGAACTTTTTAAAACCTTTCAATTGCCTCTTATCCAGAATAAGTGCACCAGCCTCACATGCCCTACTACAAGAGGCATTTGTTATATGGCAGACAAACACTTGAGTTCACTTCTCCAAGCTGGAATATGTCGAATGAAGACAAAAATGTGCGTGTGATATGGGGACTGTGCTGAGACCATCCCACCTGCTAAACTGTAAAATTAAATACGGTTGAAAGTATGGTCACATTGCAAACTTTATTTTTTGTTTCGTCTTCAGAATCTGGCAAATTTTGATTTCGCTACACCCAGGAACCCAGTTTAACCACGTGCCGCGGCTAAAACCCAGACTGGAACACAGAATGTTGGATGTTGTATGTAGGTTGAACTTCTTTTGCACCGGACGGAGCCAACCGTGCCAATCGGAGGTGTGGAGCCGGCATCACTGAGCCTATCAGCGGCGCCGTCGCAATATTATCCTGCAACGCCACGCGGTCCCATATAAGATTGCTACGGTGGCTAGGAGATGTTAACTGAATTTCCTCGTATACAGGAGGTCGTGGGTTCGATCCCAACCCCGACGCCTGTTGTATATTTGGAGTTTGCGTGTCTCTCACTCTCTCATCCCCGTGGTCACGTGGATTTTTCTCCGGGTCCTCCGTTTTCCCCTCCACATTTAGAAACATGCGTTTTGAATATTTGGCTGCTATAAATTTCCACGTGATCAGCCGCTTCTTTAACCTATCATTTGTGGCCAGGTTACTTCTGAAAAAAAGCTATTTGGTAAAATATAACATTGATAATATAGCTCATATAATTCCTCCAATATAAATAAATATTCTGATTCTGCTGTGAAATTTAAAAAGTGTCCAATTTCCCCCAAAATCGGAACACTCCCGCCCCCCTTGCCCCCTTCCCCCGGAAAGGGTAGCAGGTCACAGGATCGCAGGTCACAGGGTCGCAGGTCACAGGGTCAGAGGTTCACAGGGTCGCACCGTTGCGGCAGGTCTTGTTGTTGTCCAGGAGCCGCACGCCGGTGGGACAGGCGCACGAGAAGAAGGGCTTGTTCGGCGACAGCAGGCAGAGGTGCGAGCAGCCTCCGTTGTCGCGATCGCAGGGGCTCGATCCTGGGGATGGAATGAACGCACACACGGACGCACGCACGCACGGAGCAGAATGGAGAAACACAAAACACGCATGGTTGAGCACGCACGCAAGGAAACACACAGGACATGGAGGGGTGGGGGAAAAGAAATAATAGCCTTCGAGTTTTATATTCGCTGTATGTGTGCGCGTGTGTATGGGGATTGGCAGCGTAGCGGACAGCGCGCTGCGCTACGAACCTGGCGACCCGGTTCGATTCCCGCTGACGGCCAACACCGGTGACGATTATCTGAACCGGTCCTGGGCCTACCCTAGGTAGACTCGGCCTCAAATGAGTACTTGGTGCGATGTGTAAACATCGCCACTGGGGAGACAAAGGCGGTCAGGCGTGGTGTTGGACACCCACCCCCTCTCGTGTACCGTTTCGCCTTTATTAGGTGCTCGCTAACAGCACTTGCCCCTACAGCATTTTAAGGCTATACGGGGGATCTTTGTCAGTATATATAAAATGTTTTTTTTCACTAGAGCTAGAGGCAAATGAGCAAGCAAGCGAGACCCTTCCCCCCACGGCCTAATCAGAGCTTGGCGGAGGCTCGGAGGGATGGAGGCGAGCGCGGTGGTGGAGGCGGCCGCCACGCTTTACGCTCCCGCCAAGCGAGCCGGGAGGGCCCACGGGCCGACAAACACAAGGGGGACGGGGACGGGGAAGGGGGGGGAGCTGGACTCGCTCCAAGCTGCGCTACCGCCGCTGCCGAGCGCAGACGTGACACGCAACGAAACGCCAGCCTCGTGACCCTTCTCCACCCCCCCCCCTCCTTGCCCCCTGCCGCGCCCCCCTCGAGGGGTAGGAGGAGGAGCGGTGTAGACACAGAGAGAGAGAGCGCGCGCAGAGCGTGCGAGCGATCTTGGCCGGAAAACTAAAACGCACGCTCCGCCAGGCTGCGCACGTGCGCGAGCGGACACGCGCGCGCCGCGCCGTGCCGCTTGGCTCCGAGACGAGCGGACGGGTCTTGCCAAAGCTGCGCGTTTCCGAAGCGGTGGAATGCGAGAGACGCGCGTGGATTTTTCCGCGCGAGGGCATCCGTAGATTTTTTTTAAGCGCGACGCGTGCAACGAACTTTCGAAGGTCCCCCCATTTTCGGTCGCGGCGGGTCCTCCGCAACAGGGGAGCCCGCCGTTTTCCTTCGCCGCGATTCCCACTTCGCCGGCCTAATGATGCGTGCGAGCTATGGCGGAGAGGACAGGGCGCCGGCCGGGCGTCGCGGCATGCATGCGTGTGTGCACGTTCTGGGGATAATGGTGAGAAAGCCAAGGTTCGGTGGTGCGCGATAATGCAAGCCTGGAGGAAAGTGGCAGAAAATTACATCACAACATTTACAGAGCTAATCAGATCCGCAAACAACAAAAACAAAGTTAGGATAACAATCCCACGTCAGCAACAGTCAGGCTGAGGATTGTGGGTGTTTTTTTATCGCTGTGTAAGAAGAATTGAGGTGGGGATGGGTGCGGGAAAAGTGGTGAAAAAAAACACAGACAGGCAAGTTAATATTTCACAATTTGCTTTCCTTGCTACGAGATAGGGATCGCCAATGGAACCGATGATGCTGACGTTAAACTTTGGGTCTGTGCGAGGGTAAAGAAAAAACACATGGGCGGTGGAAGGTTAAAGGCCAAAGTACACCATGGTGCACCTGTGCAGTGTGCGGCTCAGGGCAAGCTCGTTACACGATGAACTCTGCAACCCCCCCAACCCAGTGTTTGATTCCCGCCAACAGATAACATCAGTTTGCCAGAGATATGCGAACCGGTCAAGAACGCAGCTTGATGACCCCCCACTCTGACCAGCGTGGCGGTAATGTTTGGTTAACAAAAAATAAAACCACTCCACGACTGGACACAAGGACAGGCATTCCATCCGTCAAACTGACAACGGGATCGAAAGTTATTCATTATTATGTAGACAAGATCAAGGCCAATGATAGCAACATGACGAAAAAGAGCATTTATTTTAAATCTCAATTTAGTTGTTCAGAAAAAGGTTGTTAACTTTACGACCAAGCTTAGGAGAACGATCACTGTTGAGGTTATGACAAGATTAGTTTTATGGTGGCGGTCAGGGGCACAGTGAAAAATCACTCGCGTCACTTCGTGTGTGTGCGTGCGCGCGCGTTTAATTCTATCGGCCAGCCTTGAGTGTAAGGGTTAACCAGCAAACGTTATCGCTGAGGTTAGCCACGGGCAGGGAATTGAACAGATTCCAGGTTCATGGTGCAGTGCAATGCTCACCCCTCTATGCCAACGCTTCATCCTACAATAATAGCTCAAAAGGCTGCAGTGCAAGTCGTCTGTGGCGTCATTGTGAATAAAAAAATTACGGGAGAGTAACGGGGCAACGGTGACGGTATATTCCCAAAAGAAAAACCACGCTGTGAGCCAAACGAGGAAGAAATGTCGGGCATATGCGTGGATTTCTGTACCACTTTTGAACAAGCGTTTATATTCTCGGAAGCAAATAATTAGCGGTGTGCCCGCAAGATGCAGTGAGACAATGGGGCTCAGATAGCGGCTCTGCCAGGGAGGGCACAAGCACGTCAACCAGCAAGGAGGGGATGGGACGTATGGAGCTTGAGCCATGGACCAGCTCCTCCCTTGGCCAGAGGAGCCAAGGGGCAGCTCTTCCCACATGCCCCCCGTGCACTGCCCCCCGTTCCTGACCTCTCCCCACAATCACTCGCCTACTCCTGTCTTTTCCACCTCATTCCGTGTCCTCCTCTTTCCCGTCTTCTGGCGCTCCCTGGAGCACAGCTGGGTTTCACTGCGATCGCTCGCGAACTCGCCCGTCGCTTGAAAGTCGCGTACCCCGCACCTCCCCCAACCCCCCCCGACCCCCCCCGGGGCCGTTGCAGAGCACAGCACAAAGGCCCACACCGCCAAGCGACCAGCAAAACATTTCCCCATCAAGTGTCGTTACAGATAAGAGTGTTACACATTTAATAAGTGCATGGGATGGATAGATAAATAGAAAAAGACTACGGAGGAGAATTCCCAAGTGGAGCAGTGAGGAGGGGAGGAATCGGGAAGGCAAGAGCTGTGTCCTGCAGTGTGGTCGATGAGACAAGTAGACCGTGTCCTCAACACGCGTGGACAAACCAACGAGTGACATTCACTCTGATCAGTCAGCATGGTGGTGGTAGTAGTGGCAGCAGCAGCGATAGTTGGGTGACAGGCAGGCGACTGACCGCCAGTGAACGAGTGACCGGAGCGAATCGGCGAGTGCCGGATGACCAAGTCGACCCGGCCGCTTTCATTGGAACTGCGCCGAGCGACACGAGCGTGCCGTGTCCATCGGAACCACGGTAGCGAGATGTTAACTACCTCGCCTGGTATACAGGAGGTCATTGTTCGATCCCAACCCTGACGATGCCTGTCTATTTGGAGTTTGCATGTTCGCCCTGTGGTCACGTGGATTTTTCTCCAGCTCCTCCGGTTTTTCTCTCTAAATTTTAGAAATATACGTTTAGAGAATTTGGTTGCTAGAAATGTCCAAACGATGAGCAGAATCGGAATATTTAGTTACACTGGAGGAATCCGATGAGCTATGAGGCTCTTTTTTACAGATGTCCAGTAGTTTCATAGATGTCCAAGCCACTTCGTTGAGCTATCATTTGTGATGGCCAGGTAACTTCAGAAAAAGCACCATAAATATAGCTCAGTGGACCTTACTTGGTAAGATAACAAATTTAGTTTACAATCGTTTTTAGTAAAAAAAAAAGTATTGTTTGCAAGCACCACCGACCTGCGGGCTGGCGCTGTGCGCTGTAGATGTGAATGTCCATGGGCGAGTAGATGTTGGAGAGGATCTCCTGGCGGCGCTCGCCCGTCTCCTTGTGGCACGCCTGGATGGAGCGCGTCTGCCAGTCGGTCCAGTAGAGCGTGTCGCCAAACACCGTGAGCGCAAACGGGTGCGGTAGGTTCCCCGCGATCACGTCTTGCCTGCGCGCCGCAGACACGCCGGGCGGAGGGGAACGGGGGGTGGTGGGGCAGAAGATGAAGCCTCAAAGTGTGTCCGGCAACTTCTCACAGCTTACCCCCCCCACCTCCCGTCTTAGGTTATGCCAGCGGCTCTGAGAAAATGGTTTGAAATTCTACGTTAGCGGGGCAGGGGGTGGAGGGGCGCAGTCAGTCATGTAGCGCAAGCCTCTAAATTGTTAAAAAAAGGTGGGAAGCCAAGTAGAGGGTTGTAAGATGCAAACTTAACTTAAATAATGCTCTGTATGTATATAGCATTGGTGTGTGGCCACTTGTGATGGTGGGGGGTGGGGGGGAACTGAAGGAATCCGGAGAAAACCCACCACACACACAAGAGGGGGCGAGACATTTGATTGATAATTGCTGTGCTGCCATCTCTTGCCCACATCACAGCACATTTCATCCAAGTTGACGCGAATTTCACGTTGAGTGGCCAAAGTCCAACAGAGGGCTCGCAAAACAAGCCGATTTTCTTCATCACGGCAGACAAGCAATATTTATTTGTCTACCCCACCTCGTTTTCCAGCGGTTAATCGAACAATTCACTGTTTGGCCACATTAAGAAATTGGAACCACTCAAGCTTTGCCAGGTGCTTTCCAACGAGTGAGCGATCTTGTCCCCGGGGCTCACCGACGACACAAAAAAGATGCCGGCAACGTGAGAAACAGCAGCAAATGTCTTTATCAGGTCTCGGATTGATGTTGACCGAGAACTCAAGAAAACTGGGTGGCCTGCTGACGTGTAATGCGGCGAGCGGTTTCTGCAAGTGGTGGGACGGGGTGGCGGGCGGGGGGGGTAAAATAAAATAACAAACCGAGCCTTCAGGTCCACACGAGAAAAGCGCAGCCGTCGCTTTGCACAGATCCAAACAAACACACGTAAAGGAAACCACTCGGCCAATTTCATCGGCGCGCCACTACGCACACAGTCTGACCGCTGCCGCTGCTTGGCGTCGGCGGCAGTTACAGAAAAACACGAGTGCACGCGCGAGCACGACAAGAGCAAACGGATCGGGGACCAGGCTTCACTTGTACAATTGCCCACAACATAATGTGGATTTGTAAAGCCTCTCACCCCGCTTGTGAAAATAATGCACACTGGAAGAAAAAAAAATAAAACAAATCAATCGCGCGTTACGAGATCGTTGCCAACAGCCGAGACAGAAAGGGGTGCGTGCCGAAGAAGACTCGAGTCCTGTGAATGTGCGAATAATGACTTGCGAGTACACAGGCATGGCCATTCACAGAGGAGAAGGGGGAAATATTTGTGGCTGCACTCGGAGACTCTCACAACTTGGCGCAAAAGTTGCGGGTTTTTTTCTTCTCAATGTGCAAGAGGGTTTTTGTTTTTCTTCTTCTATCAACCGGCCTGTAACCGTTCACCACCAACCCCCCCCCCACCCACCGAGTCATTCGGTGAATTGCCACAATTCGGGGGTCGCGATTTCGTAGCGGTTGTACGTGCTGCGGTCACGTCCGCAGATGTGAACGTGGCAGTTCTTGCAATCAGCGCGTGCGGTCGTGCGTGCGTGCGGTCGGATACCGCAGGTGGGTGCGTGGTAGCACTGACCGGAAGGAGCCGTCCAGGTTGCACCGGTGGATGTAGTTGAGCTTGGCGTCGGCCCAGTAGAGCTTGCCACCGTCGTAGTCGAGCGTGAGGCCATTGGGCCAGTAGATGTTGTCGATGATGAGCACGGAGCGCGACGTGCCGTCCATGCCCGCCCTCTCGATCTTCGGCACCTCGCCCCAGTCCGTCCAGTACATGAATCTGCATGGGCCAACGGCGGAGAGATACCGCCCGTTTAGATTTAACTCCGAAGAGATTGCAAGGGACGATGCCGTTTGATTCATAATTGATCCGTGCGTTAACCATCGAGGCTCATGCATGTCCACCGCACGACATGGCCAAATCAATGAAACTGTAACGCGTACAAACGTTGAACAATGCACCGATTGTTATCGCTAAAGCACACCGGTATGCGCAAGTGTGAGCCTCAGCATCTTCAAGACAGAACCTGGGACACGTCTTGCGTTCTCTCCTGAAGACGCTTGGCGCAGTTGCAAGCGAAACATCGTGTAGCCGTGCGTGAGAATTGTGAGACACGGCGAGGCTTTGCAGGATTAGTTCTTAAAATTGTTATCATTTAAATTATCTAGATTGAAAACTCATTTATAATTGCTTTTTCCGTTTAGTTTGTTGTCCTTCCCCTGCACCTCCGATGAGCACGATTGGCTACGTACGGTGCGAAAGAAGTTCCAACATACACACATCATGCTGTTCCTTACCTAGCGCTGCTCTCCGAGACAAATTACAATCGTCACGTGCTTTCTTTTTTTACTACGCAATTCATTGGAGTAACTTGATAACGGGCGTTACACGTGACGGGCGATGGAAATCAGGCGAGAGTTCATAGCGCGGGTACACTAACCGCCCCCTCTACTTTCTGGCACTCACGGAGTGCAAATTGTTTTTTTAAGAAAGGGCTCTGAGGTGCGTTTGTATTTGCTAATTTCCGCTCGCACAGAGGCTCCCCAGATGCTCCACAGCTCCCGTGTTGGACATTTTTAGATTTTGAAAGCCAACCGCTAAACCCTTGAATACGGTGTTCCGTCTGTTTCCGTTGTTTGACAATACTGATAATGACACAGGGAATCTGCAGGAGGGAGACTGTTTGGGGAGGACTTCATCCAGCAGTGCTTAGATCATGGCGAAAGATAATGACAAGCTGGAAGGCTTGGTCATTTCCCTAACAGAGTGTTCTACATGTGTGACAATTATATAATCCGGTCCCTCCACAAGGTCAACTCGGCCTCAAATGACTACCTAGTGTGGAGTATAAAACAGCAGCACTGGGGAGACGAAGGCGGCCGGGCGTGGAGCCGGCCACCCACCCCCTCGTGTGCAATGCCGATCTCCATAGGTGCTCGCTAATGGCACTTGCTCCAAAAGTATATTATAGCTATATGAGGGGTGTTTGTGTCTCTGGGGTGGGGGTGTAAACTGGAGTAACGGGAGAAAACCCACACACACGCTTGCGTAAGCTTGCGTAAGCGTGTGTGCGAGACGTGTGTAAAACACGCTTGTTAAAACTCGTACAGATATTCTGGCAGCCTACTTGCTGTACCATCTTTTGCAAACAGGACAAAATCTGTGATCCACGCAGGCAGCTTCGAAGGCGCTGGATTACAGGAGTGCACCACCACACCCACACATGCCTGTGTGTGTGTGCGCGCGTCTTTGTGTGTGTGCCTCTTTGTGTGTGTGTGGGTAAACGGGAATCTTTGTCCTTTGTATGTGTGCGTGTGTACGTGGGGAGGGGGGCCGACGCACTGGTTCGCACAAACTTCTGCAATCCTCAGCAACCTGCGGTCGATTCCCAGCCATGGATAACATCGGTGGCGAGTGATACCTAAACTGGGCCTGGCCCTCTCCTAGGCTCAGCCTTACAATGAGTACAGGGTACATTGCATAAACCAAATTACCCCGAGTAAAACCATGGGTATAATGAAACACAGTCTAGGTCTCGATTTAAAGCTTTCGTGACTGCAGGGATTCATCTTCTTGGTTCTTTCGGTAAAGTCACGTAGAAGGGAAGTAATAAAATAATAAAAATAAAACATAATAAAACAATTCTCACGACGTTTCGGCCACAACAGACAGACTCTGTCGCCTCGACGGACCTGGTTTTCACCTGAGGACGGCTGCTTGCGTTGTGGCCGAAACGTCGTGAGAATTGTTTTATTATGTTTTATTTTTATTATTTTATTACTTCCCTTCTACGTGACTTTACCGAAAGAACCAAGAAGACAGTCTAGGTCCACAACAGACCGGATCACCACGCCACTTGCTGTCCTGCCATCTCCTGGCCCACTTAACTAGAACCATGCCCGGCTGCCTTCGTCTCTCCAGTGCTCATGTTTACACAGAAGGAATGGGAGTTCTGAAAATCTGTGCGATCCACCAACTCGGGACCTACAAGGTGTGGTTTTCCAAAAATAAAGACAAAGGGTCACAGCTGCCCTCCTCCGATGCACCGTGTGTTGATCGGCATGTCCGGCGTTTCGATACCACGTGCTTAGGGAGGCTTGTTCAGGAACTGAATGCACTCCATCTCATTTGTTCATCTGCATCGCGCTTCCCTCGCGGAAGCGATTGAGCTCCCGAAAAAAATCTCCCAGCGGGGCGTGGGGACAAAACGTACACGCTTAATCTATTTTTTTACTATTTTTATGTGAACAGGTAAGGCCCACTGAGCTATATAGCTCTTTTTTCAGAAGCGACCTGACCACAAATGATAGCTCAACAAAGTGGCTTATCGCGTGGAAATGTATTGTCTCCAAATACTCTTAAAAAGCGCGTCGATTCTAAATGTGACGGGAAAAAACTGAGGACCCGGATAAAAATCCACAAGACAGGAAGAGAGACACGCAAACTTCAAATATACAGGTGTCAGGGTTGGGATCGAACCCACGACCTCCTGTATACCAGGCGAGGGATGCAACATCTCGCCACCGCGGCGCCCCGCTTCGTACCAAGAGATGTGCGGTAACAACTCCGACAGAACGCACGCATCGTCGGAGAGCCAAGCAGCACGACCCATCGTCGGTATTGTTTCCCACACGAGCGCGAGGCACGCAGGGCAAACCTCGGCCCGGACGACCGTTGTCGATATTCCGTCGCGTCTCGCATCGTGCCCAGCAGGCCAAGCGAGCGCCGACGACGTTTACAGTCGCAGAACATTTCTGAGCAAATATGCGGTCGAGCTTAATGTGGTGGAACATTTTCTGCCCTGCTTTGCGAGTTAAGTCGCAAGGACTTGCCCCCCCCCCCCCCCCCCGAGCAGGAAAACTATATTTCATCCACCCAGGATATCTGCATTTAAACCGCAATAAATCATGGACGTGGGGTTTATTTTTAAACGGGGGTTCAGTGGAGTCAAGGGGGGCGGTGGTAAATGAAGAAAAATGTTAACCCCGACCAAAAAAAATATAAACTCAGACTTTCAAAAAACACAAGGCAACCGCCACCGCCTAATGACAAGTTAGGGCAATTATCTAATGGGGAAAGTAAGATGCAAACGTTCCATACGCTTAGGGTCACACATCACATCTGCTTTGACAGTATAATTTGTTCTGGCCAAAACCAGACCCATTTCAATTTCCACTGGCTGGAGCTGCCACCCCCCTCCGCCTTCACCCGCACTCCGGCCTCACCCCCCCCACCCTTTACCCCTCCATACCCACGCCAGCGGCCAGCCCCGACAGTAACCCCCATCCCAACCGCATGCACCAGCGAGCACCCATTCAAACTCACTCGGGCAATACGCAAGGCTCAATGGCTAAAAGGAGGCGGTGGTGGCGGCGGCGAGGGGGGTGGGGGAGAGAGCCGAGCGAAGGAGGAGGGATAACAAAAAAAAGTTGCTTTCTTTGTGCTGCACGACTGCGGCAGCGTGGGGGTTGGGAAGGAGAGCGAGGAGGAGAGGGGGGGAGGAGAGGGGGGGAGGAGGAGAGAGCGTCACTAGACCACAGCTACAGAAGGCATACTTCACTTTCCCACTCCTCCTTCGCCTGTCCGTCATGTAACAGCCAACGCTACCCCCCACCCGCAACCACCGCCACCAACACAACCACCATCACCACCACAACCACCGCCAAAGATCCCCCGTATAGCCTGCAACAGACTGCTGGGGCAAGTTCTGTTAGCAAGCACCTATGAAAGCCGACACGGCACAAGAGGGGGTGGGTGGGCAGCTCCACGCCCGACCGCCTTTGTCTCCCCAGTGGCGATGTTTACACACCACACCAAGTACTCAGTTGAGGCCGAGTCGACCTAGGGGACGCCCAAAACCGTTTAAGATAATCGTCACTGGTGTTGGCCGTGATTGGGAATCGAACCCGGGTCGCCAGGTTCGTAGTGCAAGTGCTCTAACCGCTACACTAGCACCACCGCAGCCACCATCTCCACTACCAGTGCAATCACAGCAACCACCACACAGCAAAACACCAACTAAGATTTATTCATTAGTGACAGTCCCGCATGCTGCCTGCACCCCCACCACCACCACCGCCAAAGCTTTTGTTGTCACAAGGGCTTAAGTAAAAAAAACACATGGTCACACACACGCATGTGCCGCATGGAATACATGAAACTAAAAACGTGCGCTTTTATGTCGACCTTAGAGTTGCGCGCTCGTGCGTGTTTGCTGGGGCCGTTTCTGTACCCTATTGTGACGCATAGACGGCGCTTTGTCTCTCTTTTTCGGGCCAAGTCTCCGTTGCGAAAGGAGTTGGGGGGGGGGGGTGTAGCCAGCAACTGTGCCTTCGAGTGTTATCGCTAGAGAGTTTAAAGTTCCCACCGAGGATCGTTTAAAACTTTATCAATGTTTATCACGAGCGCGGCGCTGCGAGCGGAACGATACCACGTCGGGTAAGGTCAGGTGAGGCTCCGCTCGCACTCTCTTCACAGGCATGACATTCTCTTTCCTCGCGAGGTCTGAGTTCAAGACTGACCGGCGACGTCTTACAAGCGTGGGGGAAATGGCCAAAACGTGACGGACTTGCTTTCGAGGTGGCCAGGGGGATGGTCGTACAGCAAGTAAAGGCTGCTGATGAGACTGTCTGTAGAGTGGAACTTCTGTAGGAGTGAGTGCTATTACCCCTCGAATGCGTTGATGGTTTCCCTCACCCCCACGTGTAGCCAAACACTGATGAATGGAGATGACCAAAGATGCCAAAACAAGACCGTGAAAAGAGTTGAAGCCGGGCGAG